CTAATAAGTGCTTCAAATAGAAGAACATGATTTATATTAGACTTTTGAAATATTAAAATGAGTTCTTGGATCTCATTACTTTACATAAATCCAGCACTTCTGTAAATCCAGCATGGAACTCTCTAGAATAGAATAGTGTCATTTGAGATCCATCAGTGAATGAAGGTACAATAAATGGCCACTGCGAACACAGCAAAGATGATGACTTAGCATTTTTATAGGCTTCTTACTTTGAAAAAATTTGAAGAACTTTTAATAAATGCTTTTTAAAAAATTGCTTCCATGGCACTCTCCTAAGAGTTTGGGAGAGGGCAGTGGTTGATCTGGAAAGTCAGGAGGACACCCTTTTTCTCTCAATCCAAATCTCAAGAGCAAGGGAGGAAGTAGCACCTGTAAGTATCTCAGATCATAGCAGTGAGGAGCACCAGGGTAAACGTGGGGACACGCTGTGGTGTGAGAGTAGACGTGGATCGTTTTGGTATGTGGAGGGTGGGAGTCAGCATTTAGTTGCTGGTTTAGGATTGTACTCAAGCAGTGGATTTGGTTTGTAGGTGCTGGGGCAGGGTGGGAGGCATATTGGAGAGTTCGAGGCCCAGGAATCCAAAGTTTATGCACAAAGTCTTCTGAGCCTGGAAGACACTTAGTAACCCTCTCCAATCGCCTCATGTTATGGACCAGGAAACCAGCATCTAAGGAGGGGAACAGATTTGCTCAAGGTAATGTAGCAAGTGTCACCCCCAGCACTCGAAGTCACGTCTCCTCTCAGGCCAGGGGTGTTTCTCGGTGTCTTCCCAAGGCATGTTTTACGCCTTCTGCCAGGCTAGCCCCGTCAGGATGTCGGGCTCACAGTCGCAGCACTGCACACCAACCCCACTGTGCTCTCCTGGGTGCGCTCGCTCTTAGGAAGGCCCCTGACGGATGGGGAGCTCTTAAAAGCAGCAAGAGAGGGCACCAAGCATGTTTTTCTTCAAGCCAGTGAGGGCCCAGGGCTGCGGGCTGGATGGTAGTAAGTCAGGACTGAGAGAGGGGAGGTGGTTGTTAATCATGGAAAACTTCTCAGCAGAGGACCATCTGGTGTTTGGAACGAGCGGGGGAAATGTTTTGGCTGAGGGGAGAAGTGTGTGATCAGAAAGTATTCTTTGTTTGTTAACTTCACTCCGAAAGTGAAAGAAAAATTGATGAGAACATGCAAGAACAAAGGGCATGGCAAAGCCAGGCAACGCAGCAGGGGATTTCCAACTCAACTGCTTGCTTATAAGCTGGATGCAGGGACCTTTTTCCCAGGTCTGCTTTCCACTCCCTGGGTTGCAGAGATGGCTCCCAATGCTTCCTGCCTCTGTGTAAGTTGGGATTTGATAAAGGAGATGGGGAAAAATCTCAGGATGGATGGACAGTGCTCAGGGAGGGAGAACAGCTGCAGAATGGGAAGGAGGGTTGTCTGAAGAGAAGTTGGTTACGTGGCTCCTGAGTTCTCTTTTGAATCAGACCTTGGACTGGCTGCTGTTTGGGATAAATGGTAGGAAGTGGGGGTGAGCTTTGTGCCCAACAGGGCTGGTGAGATGTGAACGAATGGAAACATTTCCAGGGTTCTTAACCTGAAGCTTCCCTCTCCTCTCAAAGGAGAGCATCACAAAACTCATTTATCTTAAGTTGTTAATGACCTAATACATTACCTTACATAAGAAGATATGCACTATAAAGAGAACCTGCAAGGAGGGCAATTAACATGGCGGAGTGACCCTCCAGCGAAGGCATGTCTGTGACATTTGGTTGGGAAAATACTTTTGAATGGAGCATGAGGGAGGTCCTCCCAGGACCACCAGGCTTTCCAGTGGCAATACAGGGGTGAGCTTTCCCATCTTTTAAAGCTTTTCTGTTATTGAAGTTAGAGTTAGACATAGTCCCTACTTTCTATGAGTGAGGTCCCGGTCTATTAAAGGAGGGCATATGCTACATTAGGTAGATATAAAAACACAGGAAACACAGTTTCAGTACCACTGAAAATAGCATCACTGTAAGATGTGAGTTATTATAAAGCAATGGGACATTAAAAAAGGAAGCTAACAGCTCAGAGATTATGTGTCCTAACAAGGGTTTCCTTCTGAAGTAGTCACAGAGGATATCGCATGGCTGTGAGTATCCTATGAGGCTGCCAAATCTTGGAAATTTTCTTTGGAAGTTGTTTTTAGAGCCTGGTGTACACCTTTTGAAACTTAATTTACTTTTGACATTTGACAAACTTTTTCAGGATAGGAGAGGCAGATAAATAAGGTGGTAAATCATTACTTATATTTTGAAATGGCAAAAGGTGTGGTTATAAAGGAATGGGACTAATTTTCTTGTCTGTGCTATAATGTGGGAACTCCAAAGAATTTCCAAGAAAGAGAGGGAGGAAAGGAGCTGGAGGACCAGGCGGGCGGTGGAAGTGTGGGAGCAATTACGGTGGGACCAGGGAGTGCAAAGGGTGGCAGGCATCCTAGGCAACTGTCTCTTGCTCTCATTGCCCAGGTGACTGTCTATTCCACGGAATGGGAATTAATGACCTTTGATGCCAACCTGGATGACAGAGTGAAGAAGATCAATGAACACGTTCGGTCTAAGACCAAGGTTCCTGTGCAGGACCAGGTCCTTCTGCTGGGATCCAAGATCCTAAAGCCACAGAGAAGGCTGTCGTCTTATGGCATTGACAAGGAGAAGACCATCCACCTCACCCTGAAAGTGGTGAAGCCCGGGGATGAGGAGGTGCCCTTGTTTCTCGTGGAGTCCGGAGATGAGGGACAGAGGCACCTCCTCCAGATGCGAAGGTCCAGCTCAGTGGCCCACGTGAAAGAGATGATCGAAACTAAGACTGCTATAACCCCAGAGACCCAGATTGTGACTTGCAATGGGAAGAGATTGGAAGATGGGAAGATCATGGCAGATTATAACATCAGAAAGGGCAATATACTGTTTCTGACATACCATTGTATTGGGGGGTGACTGCCCTGGAGAGGGGATGCTGTCAGCTACAAAAGGGCTTATTTCCTTTAATCTATTATTTACCAATCATATCCTTTGATGATTTCCCAAAATTAATGAGAATGAGATAAATAGAGTAAGATTTGGGGTGGGGTGGGTAGGATGAAAAATATTTTCAACTCTAATTCTTTGATTCTAATATAATTGATTAAGTGGCAGGATTGCTTAAGATGTATTACTCAGAATAGAAAATGAATGTTTAAGGCACATTAGAGATAGCATTTAAAGCTGAAACTTAATCCTTTCTTGGTACCTTCTGATTTATAGAAAAACTCCTATTTCCTTTCCTATATGACAAAAGAATAGTTTTATGTTGGGATCCATGTTCTATTAATTTCTGTGTTCCTATCATTGTTAAACCCAATGCTTCATTTATAGTATCACTCAATTATTGTTGAATCAAGCTGAATTTCTACTTATAGAGCATAGTGAAATGATTTATTATGAAGTGAATTAATTACTCTGACATGATCACAATGTAATTAATAAGTATTTTGAAAATTCCATTAAACTTCTTCCTCTCTCCTTATTTCAGACTGGTATGAAATGAAGTCTGGCACCATACTGCCTTTTATTCTTGATGTTCCACACCCAGCTAAAATTGCTCTTATTTCTGGGGATGGTGGGCATGGAAAGATATTTTCCATGAGGATCTAGAAATCTTGTTTCTCTAGTTGGGGCTCTTTGTAGGTAGATGTGCTTTGGGAGGGAATAAACTTTCTGAAAGGTGTGGGATTGTGGACCAGTCTCTGTCCTGCTTGTCTTAGGGTCTAGCAGGTTTCTTCTAGGCTGAGGGTGTCGTGTCAGTCTGGGTGAGGGTGGTAAGGAGCTGGCTTCTGGGTTGACCCCAACACTCTGCTCCAGTTCTGGCTGATGGAGCATTTTCCTCTCTGCTTCTTTCATTAGGAGATCCCTGCTCCTCTCTTGGGAACTTGAGTACCTTCCTCCATCTTCCTCCCTCCATTTACTCCTCTCATCGTCTCTCTCTTATGTCTGGCTTCTGGTCACTTGTATGTTTTTCTCACAGCCTGAGACATGCCTGCCTTCTTCCCCACCAGTCCCAGTTCCTTGTTTTCTTTAAAACTTGCACCTCCTGCAGGAGAGTTTCCCAGTTTAACCCCACTCTGCTAAGTTCCCCACACTCATGAGCACTCCTCACCACACATAGGGGTCCAGTGTTCTGCGGTGGGCACTGGCCATCTGGCTAGGTCTGCATTAGGTTGCACTGATTTTCCAAGAAGAGAGTCCATGGCTCCTGTTAGGGTTGGGTGCAGGTTGGCAGCGTTAAACACAGGAAAAGAGGAGGGGGCGAAAATGAGGAGGCCAATGAGCATCTAGAATGATACCCACAATGGCAGGAACTTGAGGTTAGGGACTTTTCCTTTCCAGGAGCATGTGCAGAAACTAGGAGCTCATGACCAAAAGTAACTTTTCTGCCATTAACATACATTAGCGTAGTAAAAGTCACATCCACCAGCCACATGACAGTTTACAAATGTCATGGCAACCCCTGAAAGTTACACTATAAGGATAAAATAGGGGAGGGACCTTAGCTCTAAGAACTCTCCATCCTTTTCCCAGAAAAATAATGAATATTCCACCCACCATTTAGCATATCATAAGGTGTAAACACAAAAGCAGATGTGTGGTAAGACCCCAGTGTCTTCTCCACTTGTGCAGACAAACCCCTTTCCCAACTGGACGACTTTTGCTTTGCATACCTGAAGCCTGCAACAAAAGCTGCTTGTGTGGACGTGCTAAGTGTCTGTCATCTCTCCATCGCACGGGTCCAGCTTGTGATTTTTCCAAGCAAGGAGCCAAAGAACCGGGACAACACCTCTCAAAAATCACACCTAACACTCCCTTTTCTGGATGGGGTCTCCTGTAGGGTAGGAACTATGACTTTCTCATGAACTTGAGAGACTTCTGAGGGCAAAGAGTGTTCCTTGGTCTTCCATCAGACTGGGAGAAAGCTACACATAAACATGTTGTACATCATCTTTTCTGCATATGGAGTCTTGAGGGGCAGACGGAATTTCTGAGGATGAGGGAGGTCTCCCCGAAATCATGCTTCCTCTCTTCACAGCTTAGGAGAAGCCCAAGGGCCATTTCCCTTCCTAAACCTGTATATATGAAGGGTTTATGGACGTTTCCTCAAGAATCTGAACATTTCTTGGAGAGAGGAAAGGACCTCCCTCATTAACCTTGGACTCCCTGGGGACAAATCTTGCAGATTTTCATACAAGAATGTACTGAAGGCTAAACTGACTCTCCAATGGGTATTTCCGTGCTTGGACCCTGGGCTAATACTTTCTTCCCTCCCAATCCACTCACTGTCTGGCCTGCCCTCTCCCCAGACTCCCCAGAAGCCTCCTCGCTGCCCGCTTCACTTCCCTATTCCTGAGGGTGTAGATAAGCGGGTTAAGGGCCGGTGTGACCACCGTGTAGAAGAGCGAAACGAACTTGCCGCGCCGCTGCTTGTAGCGGTCAGTGGGCTGCAGGTAGGTGTAGATGGCCGAGCCATAGAACAGGCAGACAGCTGTCAGGTGAGACCCGCACGTGCCCACCGCTTTTCTCCGGCCACCGCTGGACCGCATGCGACATATGGCCCGGGCCACCGCGGCGTAGGAGGCCAGGATGACGGCGGAAGGCACCAGCAGGATGACCACGCGGGCGGCGAACATCTGGCTCTCGGTGGCGTCTCCGCCGCCGCCGCAGGCCAGCTTGAGCAGCGCGGGCAGCTCGCAGATGAAGTGGTCCAGCCGGCGGGGCTTGCACAGCGGCCGCGTCGCCAGGAGCGCCGTCTGCGCAGCGGAGTTGGCGAGGCCGCCGAGCCAGGAGGCGCCGGCCAGCGCGCGGCAGAGGCGCGGCGCGGCGAGCCCGGCGTAGCGCAGGGGACGGCACACGGCGGCCGCGCGGTCCAGGGCCATCGCGGCCAGCAGGACGCACTCGGTCGAGCCCAGCGCCAGCGACGTGCTCAGCTGGACCAGGCAGCCCCCGCGCGGCAGCCAGAGCGCCGGGCCGCGCAGGGAGGCCAGCAGCGGCGGCACCACGCTCGTGGTGAAGCCCGCGTCCACCAGCGCCAGGTGGGAGAGGAGGTAGTACATGGGCGTGTGCAGGCGCGGGTCGCGCGCCGCCAGCAGCGCGAGCGCGGAGTTGCCGCTCAGGGTCAGGAGGTAGCAGAGGAGGACAAGCGCGAAGAGGACGGGCTGCAG